AGTTTAACTCTCCCAGGAGCGTGTGGTACTTGTGAAGCACAAACACACACACATTTTGTATAATCTTTCAACTTTATGCTCTTTTTATATGTAATCCAATGTAAAGCACAAGAGAGTTCCGATCACAAAAAGCTCTACAAAATCCTAAATGTGATGTCCCTCACCAGCTTACCCTTCCCTTGGGAGTTTTTGGGGAATCCTCTGTGTTCCCTGGCAGGGTCCTCCACCCCCTTTTCTACTGTGCCCCTGCAGCAGCCTGCCTCATATTAATCAGCTGCAAAATGGCTCTCTGACCCATGTGAATCCCTTTATAGACTCTTGCTTGGAGTCACCTTTTTTTCTGTCTTTCTGGAAATTTTGCATTACTTTCAAACTCTCCTCCGTGCACACACAAGGTAGAAGTGTCTTCTCCCAATTAGAGCAAAACCTATTGTCCCAGGGTGTTTTACTTCAAGTATACTGTTGTTGAGTGCTGATCACTTACCATTGTCTCTGGCCTGGTAGAGACATGATGCCACCCTGCTAATTTAGGGTGGATCCACATACACATAGGCTTTCCGTGACACAATAATTTCATGATAAAATTTCATAGACTCATCCACAATTCAGAAGTGGTACAGACAGAATCCTCAGGGTGTCACATTAAAGCTAGTGCATTTTGTTTGAATAGATGCATAATGTGGCCCCACCATGGGAGCCAGACTACTTTAAGATTTGACCTTGTCCATTCCCAAGTTCTATCAGTCATCATTCTAGTGGCAAACACTCCCTTATACACAAACACATTGCCAAAAATCATCCATTTCATCCTCACCCAAAGCAATTTTACGCTCAACAACAAACACTTTGTCCAAACCATGGGAACTGCCCATGGTACTAGGATGGCTCCCCAATATGCCTATTTCTTCATGGGCCACCTCGAGGAAGAATTTCTGGGAAAATGTACCACAAAACCAATGATATACCTGAGATACATCTATGATATTTTCATCCTCTGGACGGATGACCTAAATTCCATGATAGATTTCCACAACTTCAGCCACTACCACTTATCCATCATACTCTTTCTAGAACACTCCCACACTAGCATCAGCTTCCTGGACACCACAATCAGCTTCAACAATGGAACCCTGCAGACAGCTATATATAAGAAACCCACAGATCACAACATTTTATCTCCACAAATCTAGGAACCATCCGACATGCACCAAGAAATCAGTTATCTACTGCAAAGTGCTAAGCTACCACAGAATATGCCCTGAGGAGAAAGTCTGGGATACACACCTTAACACACTTAAAACTGCCTTCACCAAACAAGGACACTAGAGGACCAGAGAAGTAGATTGCATCATGGAACAGGCCACCCAAGTATGCTGAGAGAACCTGCTTCAATTCAGGGAAAAAACAACCCACCTACCACACACCTCTAGTGACAACTTGATGGGGATCATATCCTGAAAGATATATTTCCGAGCCCCCTCTTCTGGCATATAAACAACCCCTCAATCAAAAGCAAGCTGCCCAGAGGATGCACCAAATCAAAGCAATACCAGACACTGCCCGAACAACAGATGCAAAACCTGTAGACATATCTCCACTGCCATGATGATCAACGCTCCCCACAACACACCTTTCAAGATCCATGTTCCTACGCATGCCAATCATAATATGTGGTGTACCTCATCCAATGTAACATCTATGTGCGTAAAACCAGACAATCACCAAGTTCTCAAATGAACTCACACAGAAAAATTATAAAAGACAACAACATCCTCTCACCTGTAGGTGAACACTTTTCGCAAAATGGTCACTCCCTATCTAACTTTTCAGTCCACGTCCCCAAAGGAAACCTGCACAACACCTTCAAAGGGCAAGCCTGGAAGTTTAAATACTAACTTTACTAAACACTAAAAATCGTGGACGCAGTGGTTTTATGCTGCCTCATAACAATCTGTAACCCACTAACTCTCTTTTGTCCTAAGACTGTAGAGGTGTTAATTGCCTGGTTCATCTTGAATGCTCTCTTGCAATATGTGTTTTAACTCCTTATTTCACTTTGTATTTAGCTTTGTAATTCTGATTACCTTTCCCAGACCTGAAGCAGATGTCTGGGTGGCTTGAAAGCTTGTGTCTTTCACCTACAGAAGTTGATCTAATAAAACATATTAACTTAAGCACCTTGTCTCTCTCACTCCCTTTCTTTGTTGCTCTTTAATCATCTAGAATGGTTGCTGTTGAACAAGGCAAGCCACTCCAAGCAAGTCCTACTATTGTAGTAGCAGCATGCACATTAAGCCTTCTGCTGTGCATTGCTCAGTAATTATAGTTCTGTATTCCCCAGTTTGCATGGTATTTTACACCTTGAATTTTGCTTTAGTTCAATTTCAAATAAACCTAAAATGTTAATGCAAAACTGAACTAAGTTCACTTAGTTGTACCTGGTTTGGGGCTGAAAACCCTGTTTTCAAACAAGATCATATGTTTTTGATATCCCAGACTCGCGCCAGGTTCATCAAAGTTGGGAAATATGGCCTGAGTTCTGGGTTCCTGAGTTCTTGTCTCACCCTGCATTCTTAAATCTATTAGAACTTTTCTGTCTTTCTCATGTAAACAGTTAGATCTTTCTGTCTTCCTAATACTGTATTTCTTCACCTTTATTAGAAGTGTCTATGTTAGGTGATACCTTTGCTGTAGGGTGCCTGGTAACTGTAAGGATTTATAGAGATGCCTCCACTTATATAATGACAGGTTTCAGAGTAGCAGCCGTGTTAGTCTGTATCCGCAAAAAGAAAAGGAGTACGTGTGGCACCTTAGAGACTAACAAATTAATTTGAGCATAAGCTTTCGTGAGCTACAGCTCACTTCATTGGATGCATGCCGTGGAAAATACAGTAGGGGGACTTTATATACACAGAGAACATGAAACAATGGGTGTTACCATACACACTGTAAGGAGAGTGATCAGGTAAGGTGAGATATTACCTGCAGAGGAGAGAGAGAGAGAAAAAAACCTTTTGTAGTGATAATCAAGGTGGGCCATTTCCAGCAGTTGATAAGAACATGTGAGGAACACTATGGGGGAAAATAAACAAGGGGAAATAGTTTTACTTTGTGCAATGACACATCCACTCCCAGTCTTTATTCAAGCCTAATTTAATGGTGTCCAATTTGCAAATTAATTCCAATTCAGTCTCTCATTGAAGTCTGTTTTTAATTTTTTTGTTATAATATTGCCACTTTTAGGTCTGTAATCAAGTAACCAGAGAGGCTGAAGTGTTCTCTGACTGGTTTTTGAATGTTATAATTCTTGATGTGTGATTTGTGTCCATTTATTCTTTTACATAGAGACTGTCTGGTTTGGCCAATGTACATGGCAGAAGGGCATTACTGGCACATGATGGCATATATCACGTTGGTAGATGTGCAGGTGAACGAGTCCCTGATAGTGTGGCTGATATGATTAGGCCCTATGATGGTGTTCCCTGAATAGATATGTGGACACAGTTGGCAACAGGCTTTGTTGCAAGGATAGGTTCCTGGGTTAGTGTTTTTGTTGTGTGGTGTGTGGTTGCTGGTGAGTATTTACTTCAAAAACAGACTCCAACAAGAGACTGCTGAACTGGAATTAATTTGCAAACTGGACACCATTAAATTAAGCTTGAATAAAGACTGGGAGTGGATGTGTCATTACACAAAGTAAAACTATTTCCCCTTGTTTATTTTTCCCCCTACTGTTCCTCACTTGTTCTTGTCAACTGCTGGAAATGGCCCACCTTGATTATCACTACAAAAGGTGTTTTGTTTTGTTTTTTCCTTTCTCTCCTGCTGGTAATAGCTCACCTTACCTGATCACTCTCGTTACAGTATGTATGGTAACACCCATTGTTTCATGTTCTCTGTGTATATAAAATCTCCCTACTGTATTTTCCACTGCATGCATCGAATGAATTGAGCTGTAGCTTTACAAAAGCTTATGTTCAAATTAATTTGTTAGTCTCTAAGGTGCCACAAGTACTCCTTTTCTTTTTTCCACTTATATAGATATTTTGCCGTGCCTGTGCAGTTAAGGTCATATCCCTGGCTTCTACCTGGAAATATTTTGAGACCGAAGCTTCTTTGTTCTTTGTTGACTTCCTGACTTGCATAAGATGTAAGGGAGAAGAGCAAAGGTCCTTTCAAGCCTTTGAGGAGCTAATTACATACTTGTCCCCCCAAGCCCATGGTAGAACAAGTGTTTTCTGTACTGCAGCTTGCAGCCACTGATGGGTAGACTCAGGAAGCTGAAGAAAGGAAAATATATTTTGGAAATAGGAGGAGACCGTACGAGGCTAGAGGTGGGGAAGAATTACAGGGGGAGGAAAGTATGTGTAGAAAGAAGTAAGACAAGGAAAGAGAAGACCAAGAGAGAGGGAAATTTAAAAAAGAGAGAAAAATGGGACCTTAAAATGGAGTTAGGAGTAGGGGAGCTGAACATAAAAACAGAAAGAGAAGTGGAAGAAATAAGGGTAGGATTTTGATCCAGGGAAATATAATTTAATAAATAAGATACGGAGCTCACCCTGCTGGAGCATGGTATAAAATACAGTATATGTTACAGTACATTTACAAAGAGGTAAATACAACACCCCTTCCTCGTTATCGCTTGCTGTTCAAACAATAAGTGTTCCAAATGTTTCCCCACAAAAATCTGGTCACTCCCTGGGTAGCAGATCAGTGGGAGTCAGAGGGTAGCAGGAAGGATGGCCTCTGACACCTATAAGCCCACCACTTACTTTGGGCACCAGTTGTTCATTTATCAGAGAAACATTTGATCAGGAACAAAATTGCTCTCTAGGAAGATTTTATTGTAGCATTTGCATTTGAAGCAGTATTTTTCTAAGGATCATATGCTAGCAAGTTTTGCTGGCTATAAATTTACATAAGTTAATGTATTTTTACTATAGTATTCATATCTATGCCGTGATTTGTCACCCGAAAGTAATCTGTTATTTCAATTTCAGCATGCGAGACAGAAGCGGGGAAAGTTTATCAGGTATCGCTAGAAGAGCACATCCAGCCTTTCAAAGACAGCATGGAGCAATTCATTAATCAAGGTAAATAATGAAACGTCATTTAACCTTTTCAAGACATTTCAAAGGAAAGTTATAGAAACAATGTTTATACATTGGGAGTAAAGAGACAGTTTATTTTGGCATCATAGAAAGATGTGGGTTAGTTTAATCAGATGCCATGCAGTTCTAAAAGATTTGTGGGATGACTGCTGTACTGTCAGTGAGTCACCCTCTTGAGTGGCAGCAAAGACAGATGCTATTGGCTCAAGAGTGTGAACTCATCATGAGTTCGCAACTCTAGTAAAATGTTTGTTTCTTGAAAATATTTTAAAGCTGGACTCATCTCCAAAGCAGTGACTGTTGTGCCAAAAATATGGTGTCTGCAGAGCAGAGGTCTCATTTCAGCTCTTCAGATTACAGAACGTGAGACTAATTTCTTAAGCAAACACAAAAGGCAAATTCAAATGGACAGGCTTGTGGAAAATGCTACGGGAGGGATAAATTTAAATGTATCTAGGCTGATCTTGTCTGAGCACTAGGAGGGAAGCACCATAACGGGGGATGGGTTATGCTGTTTCCATGCCCCACCATCAGGATTCTGCAGTAGGTGAGGAAAGCAGCACTGCCAATGAGGGAATGTTCTGAGTCGGAATGTTCTCTGCTGACTTGGCCACAGTGGTTTTCTGGCCAGTACAGTCTACTTATTTGGCTGCTCCTGTCCCCACTCCAGCTTTCTGTAACCATACAACATAATAGAAACAAAAATATTGCTTTTTTTCATGATTGGATAAACAATTGTGTGAGAAGTGAAAGTTTCTGCTGCTTATCCCTTTTAGAGGTCAATAGTGCTGAAGTCTAGAACTGTGTTAACTAATCATCACAAATGGAAATTATCATTGATGGATTGTATTAGAGTTCAATGCCCATTATTTATTTCCAGTGAGCTAGGCAGGTATTAAATGCACATTTTTGCTTCCTAACTGGATCATCAAAGGTAAATAGCATTTTCAAGGTAGTCTTATGGTGACGTTCAGCATGGGTGCACCAGTTCCTGTGACTTCACATGTCATTGAACAGATTTATTTAGATTGATGCCCATAGCCAAAACACCACGTGACCAATCAAATACAAATCAACAGATCATGAAAGGTCCGTCCCCAAATCCTTGCCAAACAGGTCCTAAGCTGTGTCCTGAAAGAATTGGTAAGATCTGCTTTGGAATCAGAGGCCTACATTTTATACTTTATGCCACAATGGTAATTGTTTTTTGGCATCTATCTTAATGTATATGCAAATAAGGTTATGCATGAGGAAGAAGGAACAACAAATTAAAGGTCATTTGTCAATAGGAAGTAGAGATTCTTTCTGTCAGATGATGTGTTAGGAGCTACAACTTAAGGTCTAATAACTGTTTTATGCATTCCTCTTAAAACTAAAACAATGATTTGAACATGAGGTTTATTTCACCTATACTAATGTAAATCAGAAGAAACTCCAATGATGTTTCTTCATCCCTTTAGGAAAGAACAATGAAAACATTATTAATGGTCATAAAAGTTGCCTGGCTCCCTATTTAAATTTCTCCACAATTTTTGAGACTGTTTTCCTGCAGCAGTGAATTCCACAGAATGATTATGTGGAGGAGAAGTAATATTCTATTTTGTTTGTTATAGGTTTACCAGACATTTTTTTTTTCTCAAAGTCATCCCCCTCCCTGATCTTGTATTCATTTTGAGACAGAGAGAAAAAAAGATACTGATAAATCTGATCCTAGAGGTCTAGTCTCCTATCAGAATGTACAGCTGTTACTCCTTTTTGGCATTAGTGGGAGTTTTGTGTGATCATTGATGGGAGAAGAAACCCCATAACCTCACAACAGCAGCAAAGTTAAAAATATTATTTGCATGTTCTAATGGAAATTATTACAAGTAGGGGTTATTTAGATGTGTTCTAAATAAACTAGTCTACAATTCTTTCAACCTCGCAAAGGCTACTTTTCAGAAGTCTCTAATGATATTACTATATGAAAAATAGAGCTTAACATATAGGAGAAAAGAATCCTTTAGTTAAGTTCAAAAAATAAAGTAATTTTAAAATACCTTCCATTATGGAACTGTGTTTTTACTTGGTGGGATTGAATTCAGACTTGAAAGAGGCCATGTTTAAAACAGGATTTCTCTTTCCTGTTCAGTGTTTGACAGGCTTTTGATCTAGATATTTTTTCTAAGGGCTTTTGTTGTTTATGTAGGCATAATCGATGAGTCTTTTCAGCTAGACTGCACACACAAGATCATTTAGAAAAACAGAGGGACAACTTTTGGCACCTTTGGGGGATTTATGTGTTTATATAATGTGTGTTCTGGGCAAAGTAAAATAAAGTTTAAGTTCTTTTATATTTAAAGTTCAGTTTCTCCAAAGCAAAAAAAAGTTTTAAACTTACAGTTAAATTCATAATTTTTCACAGGGTTAAATAACTTAGAATGTTTTTCTGATGCTTTTCAGAGCAGGTAACTTTTCTGTATAATGAGATTCACCAGTTCAGAGTAACTTTAGACATTTACAGAATATTCCGTTGATACATATTGCTAGCATTGGCCAGGCAGAAAGTTGAAGTGAGAAACGATCTACCAGTATGTGTGGAGAGCTGAGCATATGTGGTTAAATATCTCTCGCAAGGAGCTAGAGAAGAACTATATAGGAGCAGCTACAGGTTTAGCACAGTTGTATTAGTTTAATTTTTAATTAAAATATTGCAACTGGTCAGGTTGAATTTTATATGTAAAAAAGAAAAAAATAGTGAGTAAACTTGTAAAGTAAAAGCAGAAAAGATTGGGGCTCAGAATCCTGTCAGACTTACTTTTTAAATGGATCATTACACCCACCTTAAGAGGAAGAATCAATCCCTATGCATGTCAGCTAATATGTTATCAGTGGACCTGGAAATGATGCACTTGGTTACGGTTTCCTAATACTTTTATTATAATCACCTTGCAAACTATATGGTTAACTCACCAGCCCATGCACCAAAGAACCCTCTCCAGCCACAGGATTCCAATTCCTTTTCTGTGCAGCTTTAGTTTTATTTCTTCAAAATAACATTATTTAATACAAGTTCAACATGTCGTGTCCTGTCCCCTCTAATCTGGAATTTTCTGCAAGAGCTTGTCTACTCCCTGCAGGATTATGCTCCACAGACTACCTGATGAGGAGTCAAGATGAGCCTACAAGGCTCCTCTCTCCTTCCTGACCTACTTCCTGTAGAATTACACTCTGCAGGCCATTTGCCTCAGACTCATAACTGGGTTCTTTCCCCTCCCAAGCATCTCCTGCAGGATATTACTCTTCACAGCTCCCTTTTCAGCTAAGCTAAGGACCAGTTGATCTTCAGGCTATAACCCAATCCCTGGCCTCAAAGTATCTGCTGAGGCAGCTGATTATTCACAGGTGGGGCTAGCTCTAGCTCCACCTAAAGAATCAGCCACCCTGTGAGACATCTGTTTTAAGTTGCATATTGCTTTGCTAAACTTGAACCATTTGTGCTGAAATTGTCTCTGCCAGAGGCTCCTCCCCCCCTCCCCAAAAAGGTTTCAGTAAAAGCAAATTAGCTGCTTCCAAGGAGAAGATTAAGGAATAATTAGTATAATGTATACAATAAAAAATAATGTTAGTCATTTTCCAAAAGTTACATTTTTTTGAAGGTTTCTTTGAAGAGCTCTAGCACCTCTAAGATTTGGAACAGGAATATGAAATTTGGCGGGCGGATGATCCTGGTATTAGACAGGTACCTTTTGCTGTCCCCATTAAAATGTATCCAGATTTAGCCAAATTGTAAGTGTCTGAAAATTGCAATTTGCACATGCTTGGTAAAGACTTTTATGGTATGTTTACATGGCAACATTAACTCAAGTTTTCTATATGTGAGCTACTTCTTTCAAGTTAGCCTAATTTGGGAGAGCGAGCAGACACACTGCAGAACAACAGTCAAGCTGCTGTTTTCATACTGGCATTGCACTCACTTGTGTGACACAAAGGCTTCTGTGGGCCTATCTGATGGTTCTTCGCACTGAAGTAAGCTCTGTGAATTCTTTCCCAGTGGGAGAGTTTATCTGGGCACACGGGTGGAATTGTGGAAAGACAATGTAGTGCTAATGGAACTACCCTACATCCACACTGCAGAGTGGTCATGTTAGCAGCTGATGAGTTATGCCCCCTAATGGCCCAGCCAACTTGAGTTAAGGATTTTTGTTAGTGGACGGAACTTGAGCTAGGTGCAGCATTCAAGTTGTAATTCGAGGTTTCAGAGGAACAGCCGTGTTAGTCTGTATTCGCAAAAAGAAAAGGAGTACTTGTGGCACCTTAGAGACTAACCAATTTATTTGAGCATAAGCTTCGTGAGCTACAGCTCACTTCATCGGATGCATATACCGATGAAGCGAGCTGTAGCTCACGAAAGCTTATGCTCAAATAAAGTGGTTAGTCTCTAAGGTGCCACAAGTACTCCTTTTCTTGTTGTAATTCGAGTTAACTTTGCAGTCAAGGGAGGCCTTTTGAGGCTTGCTGGTACAGTTGCTGAACATTCCATCTGCACTGAGCATGCTTCCTGGCCCCACAGACTCCATGAAGGATGTAGCAGTAAAAACTGTCACTTTATTAAGTAGTGCTGCATTGGGACCCAGAAAGAGACCGTACATTCTAATCTCAGCTCCCCCATGTACCGATATGCAAAATTCTGTGCCCATCACTACATTTATTATTGAGGAAGGCCCCATATTCCTACCTTAGAAGGCAGGTGAGTATCATACCACTGATTTTACACAGTGGTTACACAAGGTCATTTCAGGTACAACTGGCAAGATCACACTGTCTCTAATGTTGCGGACTCAATCCACAGTCTCATTGCTTTGAACGATAAAATATGCCAAATTTATATAGTTGGCTATCCTATCCATAACCACTTCCTTCCAGTGTCAGGAATAGAAATCAGGAATCCTGATTCTCCATGTTCCACTGCTATCTAGAAAACAGTTGTGTAAGCCATTAGC